AATATGATCTCTTAACCTACTTTATTACTTATTTCCAATATCATATATTTGTGATTGAATCACGCAACATATGTTTAGCTCCTAGCTGGTGTAGATTAAAATCAAAATTTAATAGATTTTGATAAAAGTTGATAAAATATATAATTAAAAAGTTGTGATTTCAATAAAATGTGTGATTAAATTTAATTAAAAACTTTGACTTGAGATTAAAATTATATCAAATGTGGGCTAATATAGAATTTTAAGTTTACTGTTCTTCAATATTATTTGGTACAGTGGAGTGCACACTCGAAATTGCAGGACCTCAAGTGTACTGAAACCAAAAGAAGTAGATAGGTGTCGTAATTGCATGAATAAATCCTGTCAAAGATCTCCCAACGGACCCAATCAGATCTTCTTCAAAACCCTTCCAATTTTGCTTGCATCATCATCATTGTTCTCCACCCTCTCTCTCTCTCTCTCTCTCTCTCTAATGACTGAAAGTACACTGCTGGTGCAACAGTACCCCCAACACACACCCACGCCCACCCCCACACCCACACCCACACCCGCACCCTCTCTTTTTCTATTTGCCATAACCCTTTAGTTGTTAGATTCAGGTAACAAAAGTATGTTGTTTTCATACTCTCTTTACTCTCCTTTCTCGTCAAATTTGTATTTGCTTTTCTCAGTATAGTTAAAAAATAAAGTCTCTTTTTTTCTCTGAAAAATGGTGCAGAGAGGACCTGCCATGCACAGGAGTTTGAACAGAGAGAATCCAGATTATTTTGGCTGTGATGATGAAGCAGATAACGAGAGAGATATTATATATGGAGAGAGAGAGAGGAGGGTAAGAGGGATGGGCCCTTTAAGGCTGCAAGAGAAATAAGTGGAACTGCTGCACCAAAGTGTAACTTATAATGGTTTTCTCACTCCTCTTACTCTCTCTAGATCTATCTGTATCTCTATGCTATCTCTATGTCCTTTGTTCTAACTCGTGTGGCTCTATACGTCTATCTTTTATTAATGGGTCCATTTCATTCATCCTCTAAAAAGTCTCTAGCTGCCCATTTTGTTGGCTATTTCACCCAGTCTTGCTTGCTTTCTTTTTCGATAAATATAAATTATATTGATCAAAATCATATATAAATAATTTGGGCATTCCTGGGCAACCAAATGTAAATTATATTTACCACTCTTGCTTTCTTGCTTTTAGTGGGGTGGTGTTAATGCATGTTCATTAAATTTATGACCCTTGAGTTAAAATCTCTTAACCTACTTTATTACTTATTTCCAATATCATATATTTGTGATTGAATCACGCAACATATGTTTAGCTCCTAGCTGGTGTAGATTAAAATCAAAATTTAATAGATTTTGATAAAAGTTGATAAAATATATAATTAAAAAGTTGTGATTTCAATAAAATGTGTGATTAAATTTAATTAAAAACTTTGACTTGAGATTAAAATTATATCAAATGTGGGCTAATATAGAATTTTAAGTTTACTGTTCTTCAATATTATTTGGTACAGTGGAGTGCACACTCGAAATTGCAGGACCTCAAGTGTACTGAAACCAAAAGAAGTAGATAGGTGTCGTAATTGCATGAATAAATCCTGTCAAAGATCTCCCAACGGACCCAATCAGATCTTCTTCAAAACCCTTCCAATTTTGCTTGCATCATCATCATTGTTCTCCACCCTCTCTCTCTCTCTCTCTAATGACTGAAAGTACACTGCTGGTGCAACAGTACCCCCAACACACACCCACGCCCACCCCCACACCCACACCCACACCCACACCCACACCCTCTCTTTTTCTATTTGCCATAACCCTTTAGTTGTTAGATTCAGGTAACAAAAGTATGTTGTTTTCATACTCTCTTTACTCTCCTTTCTCGTCAAATTTGTATTTGCTTTTCTCAGTATAGTTAAAAAATAAAGTCTCTTTTTTTCTCTGAAAAATGGTGCAGAGAGGACCTGCCATGCACAGGAGTTTGAACAGAGAGAATCCAGATTATTTTGGCTGTGATGATGAAGCAGATAACGAGAGAGATATTATATATGGAGAGAGAGAGAGGAGGGTAAGAGGGATGGGCCCTTTAAGGCTGCAAGAGAAATAAGTGGAACTGCTGCACCAAAGTGTAACTTATAATGGTTTTCTCACTCCTCTTACTCTCTCTAGATCTATCTGTATCTCTATGCTATCTCTATGTCCTTTGTTCTAACTCGTGTGGCTCTATACGTCTATCTTTTATTAATGGGTCCATTTCATTCATCCTCTAAAAAGTCTCTAGCTGCCCATTTTGTTGGCTATTTCACCCAGTCTTGCTTGCTTTCTTTTTCGATAAATATAAATTATATTGATCAAAATCATATATAAATAATTTGGGCATTCCTGGGCAACCAAATGTAAATTATATTTACCACTCTTGCTTTCTTGCTTTTAGTGGGGTGGTGTTAATGCATGTTCATTAAATTTATGACCCTTGTGTTAAAAATCCTCTGGTTAATGCATCTCATTAAAAGAAGAGTCTTAAGAAATCATGATTCCTGATGGGTTTTTGAGGCTCTGAATTCTCAGTTTCTTGGTTTTTGGGATTCTTGAATCAAATCCCACTTTTCTTCTTCACACAAGTAAAAACATCTCACTTTTTAGAATTATAATTTTATTGGGTCTTGTTTGTGGGCGAACTTGCTTATTTACTTGGACAAACATGCTCTGAGAGGTAAGTTGGTCTACCGCTGGTTAGTGCATGAGGCTTATTTCTTGTAAGCCTTTTCACTGTCTCGTATTCTTCTTTATGACAAAAGGGAAAAAAAATTGCGTTCTTTAACGTTGTTTGTTGGGTTTTGATTTGTACACTGTTTAGAGAGAAAGGAAAAGCAATTATTTTCTCCTGAAGTCATTGCTTATAGGAGGATTGAGCTTTTTGGCATGTCATTGGCAACCATCAATTGTTCTTGAAAGAACTGTCCTTTTGAATATTACATTTTCTCAACAAGGCTCCAAGGGGCAGCTACAATTGCGTGCAGGGTGCATTACAAGGTTGGTTATTATCGTTCTTTTATGGCATGTTTAATAGGGAGAAATGGATACTAGACAATACTTGTTCATTATATTGTCTACTTCTGCCCATTTGCTGGAGTTTGATATGTTCATTGGTAATATTTACTCCCAAAATGCATAGAAAAGTAGGTTATTATCATTCTTCTATGCCATTTATGGTACAGACGATTGGGTAATATAGGATAGTAGTAAGAAAAGAAGAAGAAGATCTATTACTGCTTCATGCTTCCATTAGGACAGTGGAGTCAATATATTTTCTTTCATCGTTGTGTTACTTCTTGAATTCAAAACTCGTGTAAATCTAGATAGAGAAATAATTTACTCCAGTAACCACATTCAATGGAAAATAGGTACGGTTTACTTGGCAGGAACACCATTTTCCTAGTAGAATATGGCTTCGTTCACATCCCTTTCAGGGCTTTGAGATTTTAAACTTGGTTGCACTCCTCCGTTTGAAAGATTCTTGGAAATAAGAATGCATTGATGCTGAGATTCTATCTGGGAATACAAGCTCTACACCCCCGCACTAGTATGAATTAAGGGTTTGGTATCTATACGGTTCACCTATCTGAGTAATTTGTAAGCAATAAAAGTAGGGATTTTGCTAATGTTGTATGTGCCTCCGTTTTCCGTTGTTTCAGATTCAATTTTGTTATTGAGATTTCTACATCTAGCTGTTATTCTTGCAACGTAATTTTCTATTTGCTGTATTTTGCTTCTCTGTAGTTTCTTTTAGATCATGTATGGCTAAACATGCTACAAACCGATCAACATTGAAGGTTACGAATTGAGAAAACCTTATCTTCAAATATAAATGTCATGATTCAGAAGCTCGTATTGCGTAGTTTCTTGATTACAATGTCTTTGGTTTTTGACAGAAGGTGGCGTTCTCAATATGTAACACATTTAGCTGGATAACATTCTGCTGTTTCAGACTGAAACTCATTTTAAACGTCCTTACTTTTTCGGGTTTACTCTTATTCAAATGACAAACCAAGATCAGGCCATGTCTGGATTTTCCCTTCCTTTAGTTCTGCAAGGAGAACCTATGAACAGTTATGCTCCTGATGCTGATGAATTTCGGAGCTTGCAACCTGGGAAGGACACCATTAGAGATTTCTCAACTGTCGCGTCATATTCTGTCAATGGCAATCCAATTCTTGATCAATTTGTTGAGGGAATTCCCCTTTCCGGTTCGTCCTTTGCTACCCTTCCAGGTGCGAGATGTAATAATATGGAGAATCCCAATAACTTTTCAACTTCTAGTCCTTTTGAGTATCCCTTGGAATGCCCAAGAAACATTGTCCCAAGTGACTACACTAACGTGATGAATTCTTCATGTGGAACCATGAATTATGCATTCAATGATTTACCTTTTGATACAAGCAGCAGATGGGACTTCAGCAAATCCCTAACTTCGCCAGAACTTGTTGGGACAGTCATACCACGTCCAACAGGAAATTCCACTTCGAATGGGTGGATATTACCAGAACGTGGCAGCTTGACTACTAATAGCCCAGGCTCATGCCTATTCAGTAACGAGCTGTCCCTTAGTCTTGCTACATCTCGACCTTCTGTTATAAACAGGACATCTGTTCAAGAACCATGTTTGGAGATGAGCTCGTCTGGGATGAACAGCTATTCTTTGCATCAAAGGCGGCACATTGGTTCAGAACAAACGTCTTGCAACAGTAACAATGTTTCATTGAGCTTTAATTCTTCTAAGCCAGTTGAAATTTCACATCTGTTATTGGGATCAAGTTATTTCCATGTGATGCAAGAAATACTTGCTGAAATTGCTTGCTTTGCACTTGAAAATTTTGATCAAACGAACTATTCGACTACTGGGATTGAGGATAGGAAAGATATTTCTTTTTCTTTAGCAGGAAGATGCTATTCTGCTTCAACTCCTCCTGGTTATCCTGATGGGGACTGTCTAATCATGGATCGAGGGAATCATATTTTGCAAGACCTAGAAGTTGAAACAAAGAAAAAGCATCTGCTGGCTTTGTTGCAAGTGGTATGTTACTGTGTGCTGTACTATTAATTTCTAAGCTTTGAGATTGGTTTAGTTGTAAACTTAATAATGAAGCTACATCTGACTCGTAATAATCTGGAGACACAGCTATGAGCATGTTTTGCTAAGCTTAAAAAAGTAAAGATAAGTTACTTAGAAAGTAATTTTATGGACAGTGTCAAAATAAGAAATTTATTTTGAACTTTAACCAATCATAAGTACTAATTAGAACGAACTTGTTTACTTATAAGCAAACTTATTAAACTTAGTCAAACGTGCCCTATATTTTCATTTTGTCACATCTAGGGTGTATTAACCTCTTTTCATTTTGTCACATCCAGGACGTATTAACCTCCTGCCTAGGACCCATTACTGAAATGACGAACGACTTTCATCCAGATTTAACTATTATTTGTTTATTTACTTTTTACTTTGAGCTCAATCATTTGTGATCTTGAATTCAGGTTGATGACCGCTTCAACCAATGCTTAGACGAGATCCATACAGCTGTATCTGCATTTCATGCTGTAACTGAGTTGGATCCTAATATACTTGCTCGATTTGCTCTTCCAACAATCTCTTTCATGTATAAAAACCTTCGGGACAGAATTAGCTGCCACATTCTTGCGATGGGAGCAAATTTTAGCGAGGGAAGGGAAAAAGAAGAGAAGTCATTTGAAGCATCCTTCATTGATAAACAGTGGGCTCTTCAGCAGCTAAGAAAGAGAGATCATCCGTTATGGAGGCCCCAACGAGGGTTGCCCGAAAGATCTGTCTCCGTCTTGAGGGCTTGGATGTTTCAGAATTTTCTTCACCCGTGAGCTCTTATTCTGCATTCTTTTAAATGTTTGTGTATACAAACTTCAAAATATATCATCCATACAATAAACGGAATTTCAGTTTCTTTTCCTTTCTGATTGTTATTTACAGCTATCTAATTCGTCCTGCCAAGCATAAGTGTATTAATGGCATATATCATTCATGTTTTTCCTCTCAAGTTCTATCTTGGATTCGTATACTGCCCATGTCCTTGTGTTTCTTGTAAACTTGATGCTTCGTAAACATGAGTGAATTCAGGATGTTATCTTAATTTCTACAAACTAGCCTTTCAAGGTTTTAGCCTCATTTCTGTCCTCCCATCCGTCCTTTTGGTTGGGTCGTACTCTCTAACATTGTCTTTTTGCCTAAAATGCATATGCAAACATTGAGTTTGATCCGGAGGACATGTATATGTACTTTGTACCAATAAAATGGCAGCTCATATGTTCTAGACAACTTGGCTAATAGGAAAACTAATTTTCCGATCAAATTGTTTATTAGCTACATGGATTTCGTTTAAACTAGAAATCTCATGGATTTCAGGTACCCCAAGGATGCTGAGAAGCATTTGCTCGCTTTAAAAAGTGGATTGACAAGAAGCCAGGTACGAAAACTCCCATAAAACAAGATTTATGTGTTGTGGTGAAAAACAAATTCCGTCTCCACTCTATTGGTGTTTAATGCATGATATGACTTTGAATTACCATAGAATTTCAGTTTGATCCCGAGGACATGTATATGTACTTCAACGTATGATGAAATTTTCACGTTGGCTGCACCTATCAGGAAAAAAGAATTGAGCAGATTTAATACTTGGATTGATGAAATAAGAACATTTTTTCTTATTCTATTATGTATTTGTGTGAATGATTCTACTTTTCTTTGCGTATAATTTTTCTCTGACGAGTAGTATACGTCCTTGAGAGTCTTCCCTTTTTTTATGAATATCTCATTTCATGATTGCTGTTATGATCAGGTGTCCAACTGGTTTATAAATGCTCGTGTTCGTCTCTGGAAGCCAATGATAGAGGAAATGTACGCGGAGATGAACAGAAGAAAAGGTCGCCGGAATAATGAAGGAACTGACAGCAACTATAGAAATCGTATGGTCTTCGAGAATACCAGGTTTATGATGAATTAACATGGTAAAGAAAAGGATTATTCTGTAATACATGATAGTAGTAAATTGCAGAATCTAGTTAAGTTACAACTGTAAATTTATTCAGTGTAACTGAACTTCAGCTATATAATTATAAATATTTTGTTATCTTTAGAGCTTGTTTGGCTAAGCATAATTCCCAAATATCTTTGGATGATAGGTTTTCTTATTTTGAAGTAAAACAGTTGCTTCTTTTCAAAAATCACTCTTTAGTTTTCTATCAAAACAAGTTACTAGTGTCTTACTTCACCAATGAAAATAGTCATTTATTCACGTAAGGTAAACATGTTCTGATGATGGGCTTTTACTTTTTTGGGTGTAAAGATGGTTGGTCTGGTCTGACTCATTGATTGTCCTGACCTGAGGTTCCATGTACTGAAACTCAGCCGAGGTCTCAAATCTTGTGGTAAGCATGGACAAGAATGAAGAGTTGGCCTTTTTCATTGGCTCACACGACTGCCTATTTTCACCCCTCTACCATCAAATGTGCGTTTATTATGTTATGAGTATACGAACAATTTGCTTGAGTAATGTTATTCGGCACTAATTTAGGTGACAATGAGGGGCCATCTAAACTTGTTTGATAAGCTTACTTGTATTTTTAATATATTGGAAATATTTAGGTGGATCATCATTGTCATCAAAATTGATTTTAAATATCATGTGAGCCAAATAGTATTATTGGAAATTGCCGTGCTCGATGGCCAGGCCCATGCATCCAAGGGCAACACATGGTGTCCCCCTATTGGTGAGGGTTTGTGGCACCCCTGGATGGCCTAGCCATCTATCTTTATCCTATTTGAAAACAATATTGGCTCATTGTGACTTCCAATCATGTGCACTAGATACCAGACATGTCATATCATTTTGATGAATAATGTCCCTCCATGAATTGAGATGAAAATAGCAAAAATCTATCATTGTTCAACTTTTCTTTCTTATCAAAAAGATCTTATATGTTAACAATTTCATAAATGGAATGGTAAGATTTAGAGCTTGTTTGGTAGAGTTTCAAAGTCAATTAAGATAATTTTTTTGATCGTTATTTCACTATTTCAGTCGTCATTTTTGAATTCTTCTCTCACAAGCAAAACTTACTTTATCTCTAACGGTCGAAAAATCAAGGGAAAATTGCAGCAGAGGTCCCAAACCTTTAAAACATTAGCAGACTTTTTTCAAACCTTTAATTTGTTGCAACCGTCACCCTAACATTTCAAAACGTTCGGCGAAGGCCCTTTTGGACGATTTTCATCAAAATGTCTGTTAGTTGACTAAAAATTTTGACTTTGACCAATATTTAATATTTTTGGTAGGGTAAAATAGTAGCTCTCAATTTATTACATTAAAATAAGTTAGAAATTAAATTATAAAAAATAAGAAATAGGAAAATTAAAAAATAAAAAACTCTCAGAGTCTTCTTCCTCTAACCCCTATCCCAACCCCGCAAGCTGAATTTTCCTCTCCGGTTTGAGTGTATTCTTTGCCTCAAAGCTCCTCTCTAGGAACTCAACTTGGTCGACTGTAAGACGCCTCTTCTTTTCTGGCTAATTAAAATACTCATCCAAGTACTTATATCCGTTATCTTTTGGATCATAAGGATGAAAAGTAAAGCTAGCTGAATTGTAAGATCCAGCAGTTCCTCCAATATAGCACTAAATGATGATGAGTGGTTCAGAATAGTTAATTAAAGCTATATAATCATCCAAAAAAATTCAAAATTTGAAACCAAATCTCTGGAGAATGCAAGATGCGATTTGGGTGAGATCTAATTTGAAAATGCATGACTTTGCGATTCTTAATTGGCACGGAGTTGCGATTTGGGTGAGATCCCTTACAATGACTCGAATTTCATTGCCTTCACGATTCTTAATTGGCACGAAGATCTGGCATATTGTGAAAAGGGGGAAAATTCTTGGAAATTCATTGATGAAGCACGGAAATATGGAAATCTTCCCTATTTTTAATACTCATTTTATGCTGTGAATGAATTCGGGTCCATTGCCATTTGTGATGTGAATTGAAAACCGACGGGTACAGTTCGGTTCTCGGTTTTAGACTAAGAACCGAATATTTCTAATTTTTTTTTTTTATATTGAGTAAATCAAATTATTTTAATTTTAATTTTTTCTAAACAAATTAACGATTTCTAAATCCAAATTTTTGGCCCAATAATTTGTTTCGTTTCTAATTTTTTTTAATTTTTGGCCCAATTACCCATTTTATTGTTTCATTTATTAGTCAAACAAGATCAAATCCACTAAATAACCCTAAACACCTATACTAAAGTGCATAACGTTATCTCGACTCTCGCACTCTCTCGCAGCCTTGCTAATATCCCAAAACCTATATAATCGTCGGTCGACACTGTGACTTCCGATTGAAACTGTGACCTTTGCCGACCAAAACTTTGATCGTAAGGATCATTTGAACAAGGTAGTTTATTAGTCTCTGACATTTCAAAACCATTGAAATGTTAAAAATCATTTGAACAAGGTAGTTTATTAGTCTCTGACATTTCAAAACCATTGAAATGTTAAAAATCATTTGAACAAGGTAGTTTATTAGTCTCTCATTAGTTGTATTTATATAATGTTGTTATAAATGTTAAAAAATTTAATTATAGTACAGAACCGAACGGAATCGAACCTGAACGGTTCTATAATTATATTTGGACCCAACGGTTCCATTTACTAGATACCCGAAAAGTTAGGTTCAGAATCGAACCGAACCGACCCGCGCCCACCCCTATTTCTGTGGGTTAGTTGGGGATGAAGGTGGAGGTGGAGGTAGCAATGCGGTGGCGGTAATTGATTTCGGGGTGGGGGTTAGAGGAAGAAAACTTTGGGGGGTTTTTAATTTTTTAATTTTCCTATTTCTTATTTTTTATAATTTAATTTCTAACTTATTTTAATGTAATAAATTGAGAGTTACTATTTTACCCTTTCAAAAATATTGAAATTGGTCAAAGTCAAGATTTTTAGTCAACTAACAGACATTTGAATGAAAACCGTCCAAAAGGGTCTTCGTTGCAACATTTCGAAAGGTTTTGCAACAAAATAAAGATTTGGAGAAAGTCTACTAATGTTTTAAAGGTTTGAGACCTCTATTGCAATTTTCCCAAAAATCAATTATCAAAATCTCTACCAAACAAACATTTAAAATCTTTATATGCTCTGATACTTTGTTAAATTACATAGTCTCATCTCTCTTTCTTACACATCCTCATAGTAGGTAGGCCAATTTTTGTTTATGAAGGCCTAATAAGTTGAGATTTCTTAGTGTATATTATCTCTCCTGTCAAAATGGAGGGATTGATCCTAACTTTTTACTTTCCTCCTCCCGTGGTCCTTCGTCCTCTATTTTAAAACGTAGTAAGCAGATAATTTTCTCGTAAGGCTTAAATTATTGGAAAAGAAATGTTCCTTTCTCTTTCATTTCTTTTCAAGCTATCAAACACAACTGGGGAGTATGTATATTTCTCATTATATATACTCACCTTGCCATTGTTTAATCTTAAGAAGGTTCTATCAAAATCATTGTCAAAATGACGAGAAAAGTCATTATCATAAAGGGAATCCATGCCCCTACCACATGTATATTAGCTAATTGAATAATTGAAAAACACAATTTTAGGTCTTGTAATTGGCACTACTAACTAATCCATTACCTTATCAGATAACTGGAATCCATTGGAAAAGAACAAAAGAGAACATCTTTTCTAGTGGAAAGAAACAAAGTGAAAATTCAACATAAAAGTTAGAAAAACTTCTCCTACCTTTTATTATTCTTGCCTGCTTTATTGTCATAAACAATGATTATTCAAATATTGTACAGATCACTCTCTAATTCTTAACTAATACTTGTGCTTACAAATAAGAAAAAATTTATCCCTTTTGTCCTGTATGTCTTTCATTTCTTTTTGTTATCTACAACCGTCTTGTAACTTTCTCGACCTACGACATTCTTCTAATGACACGTGTACATGAGATTACAAAAACTTGCTTACCATCTTCACTTAGACTTCTGCAGGAATTCTAGTTTTGATTGGTTTTAGCTTCAATCCCATGCTTTCTGGCGAGAAAAGCTCGGGCGAGATGCTAGTTGGACTCAAGGGGCTTCTCGGGCTGACATTGCATTGAGACGGCCTGTAGAAACCGTTACCCATGAGAAAATATTCCAATGGTATTAACATGGCATCCGGTTGTTCTTCAGTGACCATCGAACCACATGATTGAACCTGAATAACCAGAGATGATACATCTATGTTATGCTCATTTTCTGCCGAAGAAAACAAGATAGTGACGAAAAGTTTAGCATACCTCAACTAAGGCACTGAATCTTCTGTCTAGCTTCGAAGTCATATGGAGAGCCTCAAAGTGGAAAGGAGAGTTTTCTCCAACAAATATCAAGGATCGACACTGTAGTCTCCTCAAGCCCTCGCTAATATCCGGTCTCCTGTGAAACAACGATAACATTAAATCTTTATAGCTTGTTTAATCTGCAGTATAAAGAAAGAAAAAGAAGTTAAACTAAAATTTAGCAATTTGTATTGTATAGTGTTGTCTACTATGTAGCACAAAATATGCATTTGTATTATAGGTGATAGTTAGCCATGAGCAGCTTATGCACAACATCACGTATTAGGAAAAAATATCCTAGTCTATTTTTTTTAACAGAATATTTTTACATTTGGATGCAACCACAAATTACACTTCTAAAAGATCAATATGTTCATCTCGAAAATGCCTGCAAAGTCTTGTCATTTATAATAATAGCATTCTGGAGAAAGAATATACCCATTTATCGCTTCAAGAAACCGCAACACATTTGGGCTCTGTCTCTCTCCCAACAACTGCATTCAGTAAAATTCAGATACTAACCCAACTCTTGCTATCCATCTAGCATAAGAAAAATAAGAAAATAACAAAAGAAGGCACCGACTCTTCTGCATGCTTGAACAACATCCGATTCCGGTACATCTGTGCTGCCACGGACTTCCTGTTGTATCGTAAGAAATGTGATCACACCATTGACTGTATACAACGATTTGAATGGAAAAACAAAAAGTAGGCCAAAAGAACACCTTGCTAA